TATCGGAGCATGTATTAAAAGTAGCACACAGAAGCCCGTATAATCTACAGTCACATGAAACATCCACTACAACTAACTCCCTTCTTGCAAACTCAGTGTAGTCGTGAACATTCCTAAGAGGCCTGCAAAGGTAGTTACAGCATTGAAACTTGCACGAAACAGTTAATCCAGGTTTGCAGGATGCATTCCGCATTAATATGAGATGGAGGTGGGCGTGACAGGTGTTTTAAATACCGCACGGTCGAGCTCACCTGTCAGTGAGCTGCCCGAGTGCTTGTTACTGTACTTACACTGTACGAGGGAAAACTCTGCAACAAGATGACCGAAGAACTGAAAAAGCCAAGTAAGTACAGCTGCTTTTACAAAGTTCATGATAGACCTTTATGTCATCTCTGGCTCCGCGGGGATCTTTGTTCGACTGAGTTACGACACTGACTGAAGGCCTGGTTGTGTTTTTATAGTGTCAAGTTTTGACAGCAGCAACCCGTCCTAGTCATCTTTCCGGTTTTCTAATCTGCAAAGCGACTGCAGAACAACAATAAATGCCTTTATTTATAGAGCACAAAATGTTTTACAGAAAACAAGCGTCGTTAAATTCATCCCCAGTGCTGAGCCCAACTCCGGCCATTTCTTACATTTAGAGAAAGCTTGAAAGTGGGTGAGGGCTTGAGGAGGGGGTTGGGGTGGAAAGGGGCGTGAATATGTGAGGCAGGTGTTGCTCAGTGATGTCCTCAGGCCAGATACAAACGGAGAACAAAACAGATTCTCAATGCAGCTATTCAAAAGAGGGCTGCTTTTAGGTGGAGGGCTTTTTACCTCCAGAATCCCGCAAAGCAGACGTTATTTGGGTGGTGCGCCATTATGGTCCAGAGGCAAATCTATTCAAAGTTTTGGTTCCAGCTTCAAGCCGGAGCGCTCGAAAGTGAGGCAATGTATGCTCAAGAGAGGAAGGAGGAATCTCTGAAGGGTAACATAATGTTAGAAGAAAGGTAGAATCAGGGTCTGAAAGGAAAGACCAGTTCTATCCATCCGTCAATCCTTCCATTTACTTCTGCCGACTTGGTGGCAACACGCTTAGCTGGGCATCCCGGATTTGCCACTCCCAAGCAATGTTTTCCCAGCTCATCCCGAAAGTTCCCAAAATGGAATCCCTCCAACTAGTTCTGGGTCTACCCCAAGGTCTCCTTCCAGCTAGACGTGCCCAAAAAAGCCTCCTAAGGTCCAGGAGGCGTCCTAATCAGTTGCCCAAACCACCTCAGCTGGGTTCTTCTGGCTACTCTCGATGTCTAAACTCCTAACCTTATCTTTCAGGCCAGCCACCCCACCTCATTTCTGCTGTTTGTATCTGCCATCTTATTTTTTCAGTCACTACCCAGAGATCATGCCCATATATGAAGGCTGGAATGTAGACCAGGCAGTAAATCCAAAGCTTTGCCTTTTAGCTCAGCTCCATCTTCACTATTACGAAGCTCTGGCACCAATCCATCTGTCCCTTCGCTTGGGGTAGCAACTAACTAACCCAGAGGGAGAAATCCACAGAGAACCACGTACCAAAACTGAAATGTATTAAGTAGAGTTTTTGCAAAAAAAAAAGTCACGTAAACTCCTGTGAATAGTAACTCTTGATAAGCATATATTTGTTTCACAGCAACTGAAGGGCGGATAAATTGTAGATGACATAAAATTTTCTTGCAACAAAATGCAAATTATTTTTACATTTGGCAAGAAATGTAAAGAAAACATCAGTATAGTCATGGTTAAATGTGATAAACGCTCAAAAACCTGCCACCTTGAGCTGAATTTCAGTGAAAAACAAAATGCACTGTTAATTTAGGCCACGTGTGAGAAAAATGACCACTAAATTGAGTAAGTATACACAGTATATCATCTGGTTAGTCCAACAACCGCACTAACAAAACTATTTACAAAGTCCAAAATAAGCAATTAAACACACGTCACTGGAGAAAGACGCCCACGACGACAGATGTTAAAAATAGAAACGCCGAAAATCAAAGCAGAAAGGAAGCAGATAGAAGAGACAACAAAAGAAAGACCGAAGACAAGCAAACAATATCTATTTGGATCTTCACTAACTCCTGTCAGAGCTATTATGTAAGGTGTGGTGTGATCTCATGAGATGTGATTCAGAGTTCTCAGATAAACCTTAAAGTCGAGGCCAAAGCAGCTCCGCAATTCCACAGTAAAAACTGTTCATCTCAGCATCTATAATTAGCAAACATTTTTTATGCTGGAGCTCTCCCATGATGACATAAAGCACCCAATTTGTTTTGCTACGATAATACAGTTCCAGCTTACCTAGCTGAATCATAAAAGTTATTTAAGGATGTCAAGTACATTGTTCCAACCTGCCCCACTAGCAGGCGAAGTCGCAGCAGAGCCTGCGGTTAGAACGACGGATTAGAAAACTGGATCAACTCGACACAATATGCACCCAATAACCTTTAACATTTCCCTTTGCTTCATGCAGAACAAAAGCTCCCCACTGACTTGTAATCACTTTAACAACACTTTAATCCACTCCAATGAGCTGTCAGTGGTGCTTTTCAAACTTTCGAGGAACTTTCTTTTAGAACGTCCAACAACGAAAACCAGTGTTGTTGTGTTCAGCTTGCAAGGGTGCAAGTCCTGTTAACTTTACAGGTGTTATCTTAGCGTGCATCGGCAGAGAATGCAAAAGAGCGTGTGCGTGTTATCCATCTAATCAGACTCGCGGTGGTGACGGATGTGTGCAGGCCTGCCAGGGTTGCAGTGTTTGTGGGCGCAGAACTAGTAATTTGTGATGCACTTTATTTGGAGTTTGGAATTTTCCGAGGGCTCCATGCACACAATTTTAGAAATGTTCTCCTTCACACAGATCTGAATCTTTATCTTTTTCCCTCTTAAATCTTCTTTTCGCTCAAGATTCTTGCCAAAAAAAGGACTTTTCCCCATGATTGTTTTGCTGTGATTCTTCTTTTCTTCTTCCTTTAAGGCTCGCTTAACTGGTGCATCTGGCACAATGTTTTTTTTTTGTGGTGCTGCTTTGGGAAATGCTCTGACAGTAGACAACACTAAAAGCTGCGGTAGGCAGGGAATCTAGACAAAGCCACAACAGTTCGACGATCCTCCCACCAGACGAGCACGCGCTTCAAACATGCAAAGATATCCAAACTAAGCTGCTTCACTGTTTTGCTCCACCCAAAATTGGAAACGCATCTTTCTGTCTAACCCACTGCACCACCACGTCACGTTCTCACTGCGGACTTTGTTGGCTAAAATCTCCCGTTACAGAATAGATTCTCTAAAGTGGTGTAGAAGGTCTAGTTTCCCCTTGAATATCAGTACGCTGAATGGATATCTTGCCTACTGTAGCTTTAAGGGTGCAGGTGAGGAGGCTGCAGAAGATGTGTAGCTGGGTGGAGGCTGCTGGGTGTGCAAAAAAAACTCCCTGATTCAATTAGGGTGGAGGCTGTAGTGACTGCAGAGAATGTGTGAATCAGGAAGAAGGTGGTGGCTGCCGAAGAGTCTTGAGTTCACCATTATGACCATGTGGGGCGGCTGTGGCTCAGGTGGTAGAGCGAGTCGGTCAATAATCGGAAGGTCGGTGGTTCGATTCCGCCCTGTAACCTGTTTCATGGTTGTTGTGTCCTTGGGCAAGACACTTCACCCACCTGCCTGGTGTGAATGTGTATGAATGGATTGTTTGAGGTGGTGGTCGGAGGGGCAGAATGGCAGCCACGCCTCTGTCAGTGGCTCCAATCTTAGCAACCACCACCAGAATGAATGTGTGTGAATGAATAATTGACAGTGTAAAGTGTCTTTGAGTGTCCAGAAAAGCTATATAAATCTGATCAATTATTATTATGTTTGGCAAAACAAAAAAGCCTGAGAACCAATCAGATCTCATGATATGGGTTTTTAAACGTTGTACTCTGATAGATATACCACGCTAATCAATCAATCCGCCTCAGTTGAACTTGGTCCAAGCACCCAGCGAACAGGTTCCCTTGCTACACACTTTGACTGCTGCGATCATCTCGATTTCGTAATTTCTCGCCGTGCCTGCTCAGTGTGTTCCTTGGCAGCAGACCATACTGTCCGTCCCTGACTCACCTCATCTGATACAGAAAACACATTCCGATCCATGTTGACATAAAAAGGTAGTAAAGTAGGGCACAGATAATGAGTTTTCTTGTCATTAAGGGATTAGCTGTAACACTTATTTTTAAAGGCGTTGGAGCCGTTCCCACCCGTCAGACTTTGCTTAGCATGTAGCAGCATGACGGTTTGAAATTAGCAGAGATCAAATACCGTGGATTAGACATAAGAGATGACTATAATCTTGCAGAAGATACAGTATCATTACTCATCAAAATCGGTCCAATAAATGTATCTAGCTGTAAAATCTGCATATTTTATCATGCTGTTATGCAATTTCACATGCAAAGTGTGTCGGAAAGTGACTGAAGCTGAGCTATTAAAAGCAACTTTTTGTTGGGCAGCAAGTAGAGGACGTTTAAAGCTAAATGCAGACAAATGCTGTAGAAATAAAATGAAATGTACACATTAAAGAACAAGTACAGAGTTTTATTTGTTTGTTTTTTATTATTATTATTACTTTTGGTGTCTTTTATTTTTGAAATCCTGCCTATATCTGGCCTTGAAAAGTGCAGCTAAAATGTCAACCATAAAATAAACATGTTTTGACGTGCAGCTGCAATAAGCAAATGTTTGTGTGTGCGTCCCTCCAAACACACCCAGCAATAAAAATAAGATCCAACTGACTTCATCTGTGTCATCGCTAAAGGTCACTGTGTTGTGTATAATCTTCTCCTGTGCTACAGTCACATTTCATTTCTCCACATTGCCAGTGTTACATTTCTGTTGGACAAATGTTTTTGGAGTTAATCACTTTGGTCAAATTTACACACATCATCCAGCTGTTTGGTGCTGTTGTAGGTTGCTTTGCTTATGAACCTTTCAGGGCACCGAGATGATAGTTGTGCGACTGAACAACAAATTTGCAGTGAGTTGAAACGGGGTGAAGCGCCCTGAAGGGAACTGAGATGAATTCTTTGTCGGTTCGTCACAAACGAACAAATATCTTCCCCTTTCCACACCTTTAGGATTTAATCTGTTCGGTTTAAAGTAAACAGGTATTTTTTTCCTTGAAGCAAAAATGATTGCTCAGCTGACCGCAGGCGTGAACGCTATCCTGTGTCACGTTAGCGTCGTCCTCCCCCGTTACACAAACACAGGTGGCTCTTTACATAAGTCGGCCTCTTGCAGCTTCAACCAGTTTTGTCACTTTGAGGATTGTGTGTCACCGCAACACTAACACACTAAGTGGAGGGTTGGCACACTTCTCCAGGCCGCCGTTCAGAGACTTTCCCGCGTCGTATTTCCTCTTTTTTCCCCGTTCGGTTGCATCCTGCGACATTCACACACAAATGTCTTCAGCATTTACCTCCACAGCAGCGGCATTTCTCCTGCTGAGAAGTTTTCTATATTTGCTCCCCACCCTGCCCTGCCCTAGTTTCTGCGACATCACGGTGATTTTTGGCATATCCGAGGCAGTTTGTTGACTAAATCTATCACGCTCCACCTTCATATGTTCAGAGGTTTGTCCTTACCTGCACTGGCATGCAACAGTCACGCACACGTTTACTCGCCATGCAACTAAACAACAGCACTGCTGTTTAAGGTAATCTCCACTCTGCCCTGCCCTGCCTCCTGCCACTGTGCCTCTAGACGTCTCGGTGGCTTTTAACATATCCGAGTCAATTGTTGAGGTAAATCCAGGACGCTTCACTGCTTTCAGGTCGCTTAGTCATTAAGCCACAGGGTTTTAAGCAAAGGCAAGGCAAGACGTTTCAAACACAAAGGCAATTTACATAAGACATGCAAATTAAAAGCAGAAGATATGGAAGAAGTTAAAGTCTTAACACAAGTACATACAAGTTCAAAACAGGTGTTATAGAGTAAGTGGCGTATTAATTAAGAGCAATGGGGGGAAAAAGAACAGCTTTTCGCCGCTCTATAGGGTCCAAGGGAGCTGATTCCAGCAGTGAGCAGGATAATGACTAAAAACTGAACTCTGGGCGCCTTCACCTGACCAGCAAGCTTGTCTCTGATATATTTAGCGCCCAAACCATCGGAAGACTTACAAAAGGATCAGTAGGGTCTTAAATTTAATTCTGGGTTTGACTGGAAGCCAGTGAAAGGATGTGAAAATTAAAGTGACGTGTTCTGTCTTCTTGGAGTTTGTCAGTATTCTAGCTGATTCTAGAAACGGGCAACCAGTTTAAAGTGGTAGTCTAACCATCAAAAAGGAAAAGCATGAATGAGCTTTTTTTAAAATCTTGCATCGATGTTAGGATGATCGTTTTGTGGTTGGATAAAGCAGGACAGGGTGCAGCAGACCAACCGGGTGTTTATTTACCGACACTCACATTTCAAAAACAGCAAACCAAAACAAAAACAAAGCGAGGCGGTTAACTGGTGGCCTGTACTGTGTGTACTGTGGCGCTCAACTGCCAGCTTTTTATAGGCAGCCCCTAATCAGCCCCTCAGGCCCACCAACATAAGGGTTAACCTAAAATACTCAAGCACAAGAAATACACAAAAATACAATACCTCTTCACTTTTAACTATAATCACAAACATTAAAACTAAGCATTAATTTCCTAAAAACAACTGCGGACATCCTCATCAAACGATGCATCTATTTCCTCACCTGAAGAAATTACCATCCCCCCTCTGTCCTCATCTACACTTGGTTTCTCCCGGAACCTTTAAAAAGGTGTTTCCGCCCACGGGGACACTTTTGGCTGGAACACCTGAGGGGATAAAGAGAGAGGTGAGTAATCACAAACTTTTCAATTCACACATTTGTAAAAATAACACCACATACCCACTTCTGTGGTCATTCAGGTATTAATTAAGTCCATCATGTCACTAAAACTGTCGTTTTCTTTGTCTTGTAGGCCTCACCAGGGTTTTCACCCAGTGCTGTGAGGAGACCAGCTAACACATGTTAGCCACAAAAGCTACTCTCATTAAACTCATCCCACAGTCATTGTCTTGTGTCTTATTATGTTTATCCCAGAACGTGAACTCCCAGATAGGTAATGAAGATCAGCTTCATTACAATCGGCATAACGTTTCTTTTTTATTTTATCTTTGCCACAACTGCAAGGTGATAATTCTCCATAAACGTTTGTTGTTTGTTTGTTTTAAGGGTTGCTAAAATGAAGATTTAGTGAAATTTAATGTGAAAGTTTACATCCTCACAAATGATTATGCCAAGATTCTAGACGGGGCTGTTAGTTTTTAGTGCTGCAGACTTCAGTCCTCCTACGTCTTTATTTTGTTGGTGACCATTTGTTTTTGTTTTTCTAAGCAAAGCAAATATACTTTTCAGAACTAGTGAACCTAATTTAATAACCTGATGTGCAACGATTCTGCTTCCAGTTCATGTTTGTATGTTCTTTTTTTTATCTCAGTTTTCAGTGGAGTGGATTTCCAGAGTGCGATCAACAACTTGTACCACCGCACCAGTGAAATCACATCGAAGCGGCTGATTGTGAGGCGAGGCGACACCTTCACAATAAAACTGAGTCTGACGCAGCCTTTTAAGCCAGAAGATCAACAACTCGTCATCACCGCAAAGACCGGTCAGTCTCTTTACGTTTCAATTATTTGTCTTGAACAGTTTTTTTTGCAAAAGGTAAAATGCCCATTAAACAATCAATAATAAATGTTTTTTATCAGACATCCATCAGATAACCGGTAGAGCCGCTTATTGAACATCAGTGGATAGAGCATAAGTGCAAAACACCACGAAGCACGTTTCAAATAAATACAACCACATAACAGAAAAGTGTTTTCTGTTGTGTTGTTGTTTTTCCTAGAATGCTTTATTCTGTTTCACAGAATATTGCTTTGTGTTTCCTAGAATGTTGTTTTCATTTTACCGATTTTCTAACACGTTGTATTTGTGGATCCTTCCAGGAGGACAACATGCATCCGAGGACCTGGGGACATTGTCTCGCTTCGGCTACCCGGACAACATCAAGCGCTCGCCATCAGCTAAAGCGGTGTGGAAATTAGAGACCAGGAGGATCAGCCCTCCTCCAGACAACACGGTCACTCTGGCCATAACTCCCCCGGCAGACGCCCCCGTGGGGGAGTACGAACTGTTTGGAAAGCTTCTGCATGAAGAAAGGTTGCTGGGAAAACTGGTGGTGCTCTTCAACCCCTGGTCTCTCTGTAGGTTTCTGTCCATCCATCAGCAGTTTTTTTCTGTTGCTTTTGACACTTCAAAGGCAAGACTATTATGTGCATATGTACATCTTAATTATGTTTTAATTCCCTTTCTCTGTAGCGGACACGGTGTATCTGTCTGACGAGGAGAGGAGACAGGAGTATGTCCTGAATGAACATGGAGTCATCTTCAAAGGAAGTGTAAACTACATCTTTCCTGCAGGATGGGACTATGGCCAGGTATCCAAACACATCACACAGGTTTAGTGGATTAGAGATGTTCAACTTAACAGACAATAAAAGCACCACATCAAGGGCGGTGTTGTTGATCAGTGTCAGTGTTTGACTTTTCAACATGCCAACTACTACATGCTGCTCAGATACAGGATATAGCCAAGAGCAGATGATGCCATTTTTCAAGTTTAAATACTACAACATCTGCACTGTTCCTCCTCTTGTGTCTTCCTCCCCCAGTTCGAGGAGAACATGGTGGACATTTGTTTGAAGATTCTGGACCGCAACAGCAAACACTTGGAGAACCCGGCTGAAGATGTCGCTGCTCGCTCTGACCCCATCTACGTCGGTCGTGTGGTCAGCGCCATGGTAGGACGCCATTTGTGTGCTTTGCATGGATTCACACGCAGCTTAACCTTGTACAACGCGGGCTGACATTTCTGAGCGCTGTGTGTCGCAATCTAACATTAATGTGATCCAGAGTAGTCACATGTTGGGGTTGAGCTTTCACCTAAATGTCATTGATGTTTTTTTGTGTGGGATTTGTAAGAAAGGAAAGATGAACATGAAAGTAAATAGGAAACTTTGCAGCAATCATCACACACAAATCCTTCAGTTCTTTACAGCTGATAGTGTCACTTTGTTGGTCAGTCAGCCCACTATTTCCAGACTTTATCTCGTCAATTATTCAATGGAATGCCTTCAAATTTGGTCATGTAATCTCCAGAAGATTAATCAGTTCAGGTGATACCCTGAGTTTTTCTTCAGCACCATCGCAAGGTTGTCGTTTTTAGTTTTGAGTGACATGTGTCAGCATTGCCACTGAGTTTGGTACATGGTTCATGTTCCAAAATATAAGAACATAACTTCACAACACGAGTCGTTCTTCAGAGGAATCCACATCCTACATATAGAAGTTCACATTATGAGAATGTGAGCTTTGTTTTCCTGTACTCCAGATCAACTCTGAAGATGACAACGGCGTCTTGGAGGGAAGCTGGGACCCTCCATACATAGATGGGAAAAGACCCACTCACTGGACTGGCAGCTACGCCATCCTTGATAAGTGGTTCCAAGAAGGCCAACCAGTCAAGTATGGACAGTGCTGGGTGTTCGCCGGAGTCATGTGCTCAGGTAATGTCTGACTCTGCAGCTCCTCCCATCACACCTCTGCAGAGATAAACATTAATTCTGAAACACTTAATGAAATTGAACTCTGACCGAGGATGCTGCAAGAATTTGACCTAAACCTTTATGTTTGGTTCCAGTGTTGCGTCTGCTGGGCATCCCCTGCCGCGTGGTCACTAACTTCTCGTCAGCTCACGACGTCGACATGAATCTAACCATCGACACGTACTACGACTCCGACGGAGTGAAACGGGAGGAGGACAACATGGACAGCATTTGGTGAGACACAAAGGCTTTAGTTTCTTACTTTGAGGACGCACACAGCAAGATCCAGATCAGTGTGAGCTTCAACAGAACACGCAACGCTTCTCCAGTACATCCATCCATTGTCTG